CCAAAGGACAGGAGGATGGCATGCAAGACACGGCGAGGTTAATGACATTATTAAGAGAAGCCTTACCACAGCCGGTTGTCCAGCAGAGAGAGAGCCCCGTTACCTAATGTCCCACAACTCTAGTGAGCCTGTCGGTCGCCCAGACGGGATCACGGTGAGCCCCTGGAAGAATGGTAGACAGATGGTGTGGGACTACACTTGCGTTTCAACTTTAGCCAACACCTATGTTAACTTCAGGGTTGTACAGACAGGAGGTGCTGCCAATCACCGGGAAGCGGCCAAGTCACGTAAATACAGAGATCTTGATCACCACTACAATTTTGTCCCCATTGCCTCAGACACACTTGGTGCGTGAGGTAAAAATGCCATTAGATTTTTTAAGGAGCTGGGTTCTAAGCTCATTGAAACAACAAGAAACCCCTAGAGCTGCGAGCTTTATCTTTCAGCGCCTTAGTGTGGTGATTCAGAGAGGAAATGCTCACTGCATCCATGGTTCCTGCCCGCCATCTGAGGAGCTGGAGGAGCTGTACAACCTGTGACAAGTAGCCTTGTACCCTGCATGTAACCAATGTTGTAACCCTTTTGTGGAATGAAGTTTTAAATAAAAATACACGAAATCCAAAGCTCGTGGATGCTTCAAATAGAATCCTTTAACTAATGTAACCGTTTTCCCTGCAAGCTCTTGCTAACTCTTGTTAACTCCTGGAAGCTCTTGCTAACCCTCGCTAACTCCTGGAAGCTCTTACTAACTCTCGCTAACTCCTGGAAGCTCTTGGTAACTCCTGCTAACTCCTGGAAACTCTTACTAACTTCTGAAATTTCTTACTAACTCCTGGAAGCTCTTACTAACTCTCGCTAACTCCTGGAAGCTCTTACTAACTCTCGCTAACTCCTGGAAGCTCTTGGTAACTCCTGGAAGCTCTTGGTAACTCCTGCTAACTCCTGAAAGCTCTTACTAACTCCTGGAAGCTCTAACTCCTGGAAGCTCTTACTAACTCCTGGAAGCTCTTACTAACTCCTGGAAGCTCTTACTAACTCCTGGAAGCTCTTACTTACTCCTGGAAGCTCTTACTAACTCCTGGAAGCTCTTACTAACTCCTGGAAGCTCTTACTAACTCCTGGAAGCTCTTACTAACTCCTGGAAGCTCTTACTAACTCCTGGAAGCTCTTACTAACTCCTGGAAGCTCTTACTAACTCCTGGAAGCTCTTACTAACTCCTGGAAGTTCTTACTAACTCCTGGAAGTTCTTACTAACTCCTGGAAGTTCTTACTAACTCCTGGAAACAACTCGACATATCCAGACCAGCATTCTCCTCTACGGGCGACGCGGAACAGCAAGTGAAATCATAAAAGCAATGATCTCCATTTGTACAATCTGCTGAAGAATCAGCAAAAGGGGATGAGAGAGAGAGAGAGAGAGAGAGAGAGAGAGAGAGAGAGAGAGAGAGAGAGAGGGGGGGGGAAAGACTGAGGGGGTTGGGGGAGTGAGGTTAGACATAAAGATTAAGTTTTATATCAGAAGCGCGCTCACCGAGGGGGTAGACTGCGGTGTTTATCGAGCAAATACATTTACAGCAACCGGGGCCCCAAAATGTGTTTGTAAGCGCGGTCTTTAAATGAAATAGGAGACAGCGAGGGGGGGAGAACTGGCGACGTGACGTAATTGGCTACCTGTGGATGCCTGGCACACACGGATGAAGAGAAATACTGGAGACAGGATTTACTGCAGGTATATTTGTTAGCACTCTCACTATCTCATTTGTAAACGATATTTATTTTCATGTTTGTTTTGAGAGAACTTTTGCTGAGTGTGTATGTATGTGTGTATATATATATATATGTCGTACCTAGTAGCCAGAACGCACTTCTCAGCCTACAATTCAGGGCCCGATTTGCCTAATAAGCCAAGTTTTCCTGAATTAATATATTTTCTCAAATTTTTTTCTTATGAAATGATAAAGCTACCCATTTCATTATGTATGAGGTCAATTTTATTTTATTGGAGTTAAAATTAACGTAGATATATGACCGAACCTAACCAACCCTACCTAACCTAACCTAACCTATCTTTATAGGTTAGGTTAGGTTAGGTAGCCTAAAATGTTAGGTTAGGTTAGGTTAGGTAGGTTAGGTAGTCGAAAAACAATTAATTCATGAAAACTTGTCTTATTAGGCAAATCGGGCCTTGCATAGTAGGCTGAGAAGTGAGTTCTGGCTACTAGGTACGACATATATATATATATATATATATATATATATATATATATATATATGTCGTACCTAGTAGCCAGAACTCACTTCTCAGCCTACTATTCAAGGCCCGATTGCCTAATAAGCCAAGTTTTCCTGAATTAATATATTTACTATAATTTTTTTCTTATGAAATGATAAAGCAACCCTTTTCTCTATGTATGAGGTCAATTTTTTTTATTGGAGTTAAAATTAACGTAGATATATGACCGAACCTAACCAACCCTACCTAACCTAACCTAACCTATATTTATAGGTAAGGTTAGGTTAGGTAGCCAAAAAAAGCTAGGTTAGGTTAGGTTAGGTAGGTTAGGTAGACGAAAAAACATTAATTCATGAAAACTTGGCTTATTAGGCAAATCGGGCCTTGAATAGTAGGCTGAGAAGTGCGTTCTGGCTATTAGGTACGACATATATATATATATATATATATATATATATATATATATATGACAATGTCAGACCACGGAGGAAAAAGAAACAGGAATTTCCTTAAGTACTTTCGTATATTAAATACATCTTCAGAAGGAAGATGTATTCCTTCTGAAGATGTATTTAATATACGAAAGTACTTAAGGAAATTCCTGTTTCTTTTTCCTCCGTGGTCTGACATTGTCACATTCTTAATCACGTGTTTATTTTCGTGATATACACACACACACATATATATATATATATATATATATATATATATATATATATATAGGGGGTACCACCTCTGGTGCAATTATAGGGACCCACAGCCTCAGAGAAGGGAACACAGAGCATTCAGGGAAAAACTTGCCATTTAACTCTGAAATATATATATATATATATATATATATATATATATATATATATATATATATATATATATATATATATATATTATATATATATATATATATATATATATATATGTCGTACCTAGTAGCCAGAACTCACTTCTCAGCCTACTATGCAAGGCCCGATTTGCCTAATAAGCCAAGTTTTCATGAATTAATGTTTTTTCAACTACCTAACCTACCTAACCTAACCTAACCTACCTTTTTTGGCTACCTAACCTAACCTAACCTACAAAGATAGGTTAGGTTAGGTAGGGTTGGTTGGGTTCCGTCATATAGCTACGTTAATTTTAACTACAATAAAACAAAATTGACCTCATACATAATGAAATGGGTAGCTTTATCATTTCATAAGAAAAAAATGAGAGAAAATATATTAATTCAAGAAAACTTGGCTTATTAGGCAAATCGGGCCTTGCATAGTAGGCCGAGAAGTGCGTTCTGGCTACTAGGTACGACCTATATATATATATATATATATATATATATATATATATATATATATATATATATATATATATATATATATATATATATATATATATATATAAACCGACGCCTCACCCGGGATTCGAACCCAAACAGCCAGGGGCTCCATGCACCTTAGCGTATCTAGTACTTAACCCACTAGCCCACACTGACTGTCCAAAAGGACAGCAAGTCGTCAGACTCTTAACCCAACCTCCCGACAGCACTCGGTGGTCAATTTTAGTATACAGATATGTCATCGAATCACTTGTTGGGGGCCGTGTGAGCAACAGAAATGCGAACAAGCTTGAATGGTCCCCAAGCCAATATGTATTCGGTTTGGATTACATATTTGCACAACCACCTCGTACTGGGCAGCGTTGAAGTGATGATGAAGATTAAGCCACCCAAAAGGTGGCACGGGCATGAATAGCCCGTAAAGTTGAAGTGGATACAAGTGAGGTGATATACCGAATATAATACCAAGCAAGATAGGGGGAGGGGAGGGGGGGGTTCTACGGGCTCACCATAGACAGTGCTACATAGACACTTCGTTATGAGTAGGTAAATCTAAAAGAACATCAGGGGGAAAGTTTAATTACGGGCTATTCATGCCCGTGCCACTTCTTGGGTGGCTTAATCTTTATCCATCAATCGGGGGGAGGGGGGAGGGGGGGGGGAAGTTAGGTGTCACCCAGTCGACATTCTGCTTTAGTCTTGAGGTTAATAAGACGAACAAAAATGTAAGCTGGCTGTTGATAACTGAGATTGTTTGATATATATATATATATATATATATATATATATATATATATATATATATATATACAGCTCTGTATATATTGTTATATATGTAGAGCTTTGCCAGTGTCTGTAATCTTTACGTTGCCCTTTTTATTGATTCATTGGGTTGTGTTGGTTAGGATATCTCTGGTGATGATCTGATTGGGTGTAGATGTTTTTTTTTATGGAGCCTTGGTTTTAAGTGCCACGTCGAGTGCCTTGAGATGAAGTTGTCTTGCCTATATACTGATATCGTTGGGGATGTTACCATCCTCAAATGTATATGTAAAGGCATAGACGATATTTGTCTCTTTCAAGGAGTTTTGCTTGATGTCGAGAGAGAGTTCTTCATGAGCAAGCAGATTGATGAAGATTAAGTCATCCAAGAGATGGCACGGGCATGAATAGCCCCGTAAATAGCAATAAATTAGCCGTCTTCTTGAGGTTATCTTGAGATGATTTCGAGGCTTTTTTTAGTGTCCCCCGCGGGCCGGTCCTCGACTAGGCCTCCACCCCCAGGAAGCAGCCCGTGACAGCTGACTAACACCCAGGTACCTATTTTACTGCTAGGTAACAGGGGCATCAGGGTGAAAGAAACTATGTTCATTGTTTCTCGCCGGCGCCCGGGATCGAATCCGGGGACCACAGGATCACGCGTCCAGTGTTCTGTCCGCTCAGCCACCGGCTGAGGTGGGGACAGATACATTCTGTCCGGTATCTGGACAGAAGTGGAGACCACGGCGGGTTCGATTCCCTTTCTCTACGATCGTCGAGGTATCCCTTAGCAAATATATTAATGCATCCATGATTTGATGGTAATAATTTTGAATGTCAAATACCATGAAAACTGTAAAAAAAAAAAAGCCATTTAGGAGTGGTACCTGGTACCTGGGTGTTAGTCAGCTGTCACGGGCTGCTTCCTGTGGGTGGAGGCCTGGTCGAGGACCAGGCCGCGGGGACACTAAAAAGCCCCGAAATCATCTCAAGATAACCTCAAGATATGAATCATTTAATCTTGTACATTTGATCATCTACGACTTTTCATGGCGACAACAAAGCTATTTAGTTGCATACTGTTGAGTGTGAGCAGTGGGAACACCCAGCACATAGATTCGAACCGTTTTCACGGCTCCGGTGCATTTGTTCATTAATATATCGTGTTATTATGTATCGTTGCAAACATGTTATGCAATCCTGCGAGTGTGCAACTCCCTACCCAGTAGGAACCTAGTCCCACCTTAGCAAACCACCAACTTGTATGAAGCAAACAAAGCACCAGCTTGAACTAACCACACAAACTCCACCTTGTACTAACCAAACACCACCTTGCACTAACCAAACTCCACCATCTACTAACCAAACTCCACCTTGTACTAACCAAACTCCACCATGTACTAACCAAACACCACCATGTACTAACCAAACACCACCATGTACTAACCAAACTCCACCATCTACTAACCAAACTCCACCATGTACTAACCAAACTCCACCATGTACTAACCAAACACCACCATGTACTAACCAAACACCACCATGTACTAACCAAACTCCACCATCTACTAACCAAACTCCACCATGTACTAACCAAACTCCACCATGTACTAACCAAACACCACCATGTACTAACCAAACTCCACCATGTACTAACCAAACTCCACCATGTACTAACCAAACACCACCATGTACTAACCAAACACCACCATGTACTAACCAAACACCACCATGTACTAACCAAACACCACCATGTACTAACCAAACTCCACCATGTACTAACCAAACACCACCATGTACTAACCAAACACCACCATGTACTAACCAAACTCCACCATCTACTAACCAAACTCCACCATGTACTAACCAAACTCCACCATGTACTAACCAAACACCACCATGTACTAACCAAACTCCACCATGTACTAACCAAACTCCACCATGTACTAACCAAACACCACCATGTACTAACCAAACACCACCATGTACTAACCAAACACCACCATGTACTAACCAAACACCACCATGTACTAACCAAACTCCACCATGTACTAACCAAACACCACCATGTACTAACCAAACACCACCATGTACTAACCAAACTCCACCATGTACTAACCAAACACCACCATCTACTAACCAAACTCCACCATGTACTAACCAAACACCACCATGTACTAACCAAACACCACCATGTACTAACCAAACTCCACCATGTACTAACCAAACACCACCATGTACTAACCAAACACCACCATGTACTAACCAAACTCCACCATGTACTAACCAAACTCCACCATCTACTAACCAAACTCCACCATCTACTAACCAAACTCCACCATCTACTAACCAAACACCACCATGTACTAACTAAACTCCACCATGTACTAACCAAACTCCACCATGTACTAACCAAACTCCACCATGTACTAACCAAACTCCACCATGTACTAACCAAACACCACCATGTACTAACCAAACACCACCATGTACTAACCAAACTCCACCATGTACTAACCAAACTCCACCATCTACTAACCAAACTCCACCATCTACTAACCAAACTCCACCATCTACTAACCAAACACCACCATGTACTAACCAAACTCCACCATCTACTAACCAAACTCCACCATGTACTAACCAAACTCCACCATGTACTAACCAAACTCCACCATGTACTAACCAAACTCCACCATCTACTAACCAAACTCCACCATCTACTAACCAAATCACTAAACCAAATTACACTGGGCAGTTCAACGGTGGCCTCGCTTCGTGCAGGTCTTCGTTCGATCCCCCGATGATCCCAATAATATGGCACCATTCCTCCCCCCCCCCTCCCATATCCATGCTCACCCATCAGAAGAAAATGGTTATACATGATAGTTAGTAATATATAATAGTCATATTTTTCGAAGAAATTATACAATTCAACCACTATACAGTCTCCATGTGAATATCCCCGGGGGTCTGAAATGGATCCCTCGAATGCCATTTATCGTCTTCACTGAGAATAAGGGACCCGTAACCAGAAGGCAACAGTCTGTGCTGCGCCTCCGTCAGCCCAGCAGGAGTGTCTGCTGGGGCTCTTCCTGCTTCAGTAACCCCTGTTTGGCTAGCAGGAGTTTTTTTTCTGCTGCCTGAGTGGCTTTAACACATTAGTCGTAGCTGGGATGGAATGGCTACAGGGGGGTGGTTGTGGTTGTTGTAGGGGGGGGGGGGTGGTTGTGGTGGTTGTAGGGGGGGTGGTTGTGGTGGTTGTAGGGGGGGTGGTTGTGGTGGTTGTAGGGGGGGTGGTTGTGGTGGTTGTAGGGGGGGTGGTTGTGGTGGTTGTAGAGGGGGTGGTTGTGGTGGTTGTAGGGGGGGTGGTTGTGGTGGTTGTAGGGGGGTGGTTGTTCTTCGGGAGGAGGGGGGGGGGCGGGTTGAGGTAGGGAGAATACCTGAAAGATGGGGGTTTGAAGTGGGGGTGTAGGGGTAGGGGGGGTTGTTGATATGGTGGTAATTGATGGTTTGTGGTTGTTGTGAAGTGGTGGTTGTTGTGGGGGATTTTGGTGGTGCGAGTGGTTGTTGGGGGAGGGGGGGGGGGTGCTGGGGCGGGGTGTAGGGGGTGGTGGAGGGGAGGATATGGTAATGTTTGGGGGTGAAAGTGGTTTAGGCTACACTGTAGTGATAATTGACGTGTTCCTGGTTGTGGTTGTGGTGGTGGTGGTTGATTCTATGGTGGTGGTGGTTGATTCTATGGTGGTGGTGGTTGATTCTATGGTGGTGGATGTGGTGGTGGTTGATTCTATGGTTGTGGTGGTGGTTGATTCTATGGTAGTGGTGGTTGATTCTATGGTGGTGGATGTGGTGGTGGTGGATGTGGTGGTGGTGGATGTGGTGGTGGTGGATGTGGTGGTGGTTGATTCTATGGTTGTGGTGGTTGTGGTGGTGGTTGATTCTATGGTGGTGGATGTGGTGGTGGTTGATTCTATGGTTGTGGTGGTGGTTGATTCTATGGTGGTGGATGTGGTGGTGGTTGATTCTATGGTGGTGGATGTGGTGGTGGTTGATTCTATGGTGGTGGATGTGGTGGTGGATGTGGTGGTGGTTGATTCTATGGTGGTGGATGTGGTGGTGGTTGATTCTATGGTTGTGGTGGTGGTTGATTCTATGGTGGTGGATGTGGTGGTGGTTGATTCTATGGTGGTGGTTGAGGGGGGTTGTTACTTTGGTTTTGGAGTTGCTGTGGTGGTTATGTTGCTGTGGTGGTGGTTGATTCAGTGGTGGTGGTGGTTGATTCAGTGGTGGTGGTGGTGGTTGTGGTAGTGTGCGCTGGTAATGATTTGGGTGGTGGTGGAGTTTTCTCTCCTTCTCCGTGGCTGTGGCAGTGATTGATGTGTACAGGTGAGTGTGTGTACTCTCCTAGTTGTACTCACCTAGTTGTGTTTGCGGGGGTTGAGCTCTGGCTCTTTGGTCCCGCCTCTCAACCGCCAATCAACAGGTGTACAGGTTCCTGAGCCTATTGGACTCTATTATATCTACACTTGAAACTGTGTATGGAGTCAGCCTCCACCACATCACTTCCTAATGCATTCCATTTGTCAACCAATCTGACACTAAAAAAGTTCTTTCTAATATCTTTGTGGCTCATTTGGGCACTCAGTTTCCACCTGTGTCCCCTTGTGCGTGCGCCCCTTGTGTTAAATAGCCTGTCTTTATCTATCCTATCAATTCCTTTGAGAATCTTGAATGTGGTGATCATGTCCCCCCTAACTCTTCTGTCTTCCAGCGACGTGAGGTTTAATTCCCGTAGTTTCTCCTCGTAGCTCATACCCCTCAATTCGGTTAGTAGTCTGGTGGCAAACTTTTGAACCTTCTCCAGTTTAGTCTTATGCTTGACTAGATATGGACTCTCTATATGGAGTATGCTGGGGCTGCATACTCCACACACACACACACACACACACACACACACACACACACACACACACACACACACACACACACACACACACACACACACGCACACACACACACACACACACGCACACACACACACACATTTGGCTCATTTGGGCACTCCATTTGGGCCACCAGTTGATTGACAGTTGAGAGGCGGGACCAAAGAGCCAAAGCTCAACCCTCTGCAAGCACAAATAGGTGAGTACACACACTCTGTGCGTGTGCGTGTGAGTGCGTGCGTGCGTGCATGCGTGCGTGTGCGTGCATGCATGCCAGATATAAACATCTTTCATGCCAAACATTCTTATCCCAGGACGGAGGAAGGAGTTCAATAAACTCTCCCCAGCCCCGACGCGTTTAATTCCTAGGACAGCCACCACCACCAGGCTGCCCACCTACCCAAGACCCTGAACCCACCTCGCTGAGACCCACCACCAGGCAGTGGTGGGCTGGAGGCGGAAGTTGAGGTGGGTCAGTGAAGGCCAAGGACACACGTGTGTGTGTATATGTATATATGTATATTTATATATGGTGAGCCCCCACAAGAGTGCGGGGAGGGGGGTATATACGGCCCTCGATTTGGGTCGGTGGGGTCCCAGGTGGGGTCCCAGGTGGGGGTCCGAAGTGGGGTCCCAGGTGGGGGGTCGACCCGGGTGGGTGACGGGAGACAGGATCACCTACCAGCCACGCTGGCGGGGGGTCCAAAACCCCGGGTTGGACCTCCTGCCGCCTCGGATATATTAATCAATAATGTATATCCTGTTGACATTAATATGGTAGCCCCTTCCCCCCCCCTTTTCCATCACCCCCCCCCCCTTTCCATGACGGGTTCGGCCATACCGACCATATTCCATCCTTCCACTATGGCCCTCCGTCCATCCTCTATCCCTGGAGACCGTTTAGACA